AGATTCACCACCAAGTTCTCGTTGCCATCACCACCTGTCTCATGCTGTTGTGAGCCTGAAACCTAAGTCATCGCTTGATTCCGTGTGTTCTTCCATGCCAGTCAGCAAGTCTTCTCGGCTCTGCCTTCAACGCATCCCAAAATGTGACTGCTGCTCACCACCTCCACCCCTCCTGCCTTAGTCCAGGCCACCAAACCTCTAGCCTGGACGAGTGCGGCAGCCTCCTAGCTTGTCTCCCCACTTCCATTCCAGCCTCCGTCAGCGCATCTCCACAAAGACCATCAGCATCATCTTTTAAAACTATATGTCAGATCATAACACCTCTTAACAAAGCTTCCTACTCATAAAACTTAAAAATAAAAAAAAAAAAATAAAAAAACATCAAGGAGGTCATGTGCGGTGGCTCACGCCTATAATCCTAGCACTCTGGGAGGCCGAGGCAGGCAGATTGCTCGAGGTCAGGAGTTTGAAACCAGCCTGAGCAAGCGAGACCTCGTTCTACTATAAATAGAAAGAAATTAATTGGCAACTAATATATATGAAAAATTAGTCGGGCATGTGGCGCATGCCTGTAGTCCCAGCTACTCGGGAGGCTGAGGCAGAAGGATTGCTTGAGCCCAGGAGTTTGAGGTTGCTGTGAGCTAGGCTGATGCCACGGCACTCACTCTAGCCTGGGCAACAAAGCGAGACTTTGTCTCAAAAAAAAAAAAAAAAAAAATCACAAGGATTTCTCATTACACTTAGAATAAATCCAGACTTCTCCGCCAAGGTTCTACGTGATCTTCCACTCTCAGGATCACACATGTTCTGCTACACTGACTTTGTTGTACTCCCGTACGCCAAGCTCGTTCCTGCATCAGGGCCTTTGTGTTGCTGTCCATCTGTTGGGAACATTGCCCCAAGTTCTTTGTATGTTTGTGTCTTGTCATCATTTAGATCCCTACTCAAATATCACTCGCCTGATTACCCTGTCAGAAATACCAACTCTCCCCACGTTAAAATAACTTCTGACCTCCTTTGTTTTCCATATCACTTACCACAACCAGAAATGATTATTTTTGCTTCCCTCCCATACTTAAGTGTAAGTTCTGTGAGGACAGAGGCTCTGTCTTGTTTACTGCTGTAGCTCCAGCACCTAAGAATAGTGCTGGCACATAATAAATATTTAATAGTGAGCAGACAAAGGGATGGACATCTGTAGCTCTGCACTTACATCCTGCAAAGGAGCTAACAGAAATATAATGTGAGTCACATGTGTGATTTAAACATTTCTAGTAGCTACATTAAAAAAGTAAAAAGAAACAAGTGAAATTAACTTAATAATACATTTTATCTAACCAGTATATCCAAACTATTAGCATTTCAACAAATAATACTAAAAAATTATTAGTTATTTTATATTCTTTTTTTTAAACTAAGAATCCGAACTCCAGTATGTATTTTGTACTTACAGTATATCTGAATTCAGACTAGCCATGTTTCAATGCTCATACCCACTTATAGCTAGTGACTCCATTGTTAGCAAGCGAAGGTAGCCTAACTTACTGTTCTTGTTCTCCACTTCCTGTGATACTAGAATAGGAGGAAGCTAGAAACTTCTGGCAGAAGAGGTGGAAAGTCTTTCTCAGCTACTGTGCTTGCTTTCAATCTTCTGAAGGAAGCTTTTGGATTGTCTAGGCTAACAGATGTTGGATCCATATCCTTAGAATAAAATAATTAAGCTTCTGCTCTGTGCTAAGCACTTCATATAATCTCATTTAATTCTCACAAACAATTCCATTTTACAGATTAGGAAACAGGTTCAGAAAAACAAAGTAACATGTTCAAGTTTAAACATCGATAAATGTTAGAGATGGAATGTAAACTTGGTTTAAAGTTATCTACAGCTGTGTTTTGTTTGTTTTGTTTGTTTTGTTTTTAGAGACGGGGTCTTACTGTGTTGCCCAGGCTGGGGCAGTGGGCTATTCACTGCATCCTTGAACTCCTAACCTCAAGCAGTCCTCCCACTCGAGCCTCTGAGTAGCTGGGGTAGTGGGTGCACCACTGTTCCTGGCCCATTATGCCTGAGTTTTTAGTTTGCCACTTTAATGGGCTCACGGCAGGGAGAAATAAAGAGAGCAGCACATGGATGATAGAAGCTGGCGTGACTCTTGGGCTGGGACTTGTGGCACACCTTTTGTTGCCTGTGTCCTGGTTCTCCTCCGAGTTTCTCAGACACCCAGGTCTTGACTTAGTGTCAGGCTATTTCAGGTCTCAGCTCTACTAATTGTTGTGTGTACTGATCTGATTCCCTGTTTCCTCTTCTGTAGAATGGGAAAGCTCACACTAGCCTCAGGGAAGTTGAGAGGTTCCAGAAAGTGGGGTGATGGCTTGTCTGTCCAGCATGTAATGCGCCTGCTGCTGTAGCCACTCAGGACGCAGAGGTCCTCTGCTCTCTTTCCCTTGCTGTGGCTAGAACAGGCAAAGTGTCACTTGACCGCCTAGCTGCAGCCCATCCCTTTGCACTTTCTCCTGAGCCTATTGCTGCTCCAGTTAGCACTAGGTGGGCCGGAGCATGTGGCAGGGTTAGAACTGGTGCCTGAATCCTACCAGTGCTAAAAAGTGTCTTTCTGTAGCACCCTATCCATCCAACTGCCACATACAGTCACCGCCAGGATGCTCTTCCTGCCTCCCTCTCCCTGCTCTCACACCTTGGGATTCCATGTCACGCTGCCTGTCTCACCTGTCTTCCCATTCCCTTGTTGCTCTGGCCTCTTCTCTCCTGCAGTGTCACAGATCCTTCCTCCACAGTGGCTACCAGAACAATCTTTGTGAAACAACCTGACCCTATCACTTCCCTTCTTATCTTTAGGATTGAGTCCCAATTCCCTAGCTTGTCATTCATCCAACAAACGTTACCGCACCCTAAGCCATTCTTGCAGGCACACAAACAGCCGCGAAGCAAACGTGCAGACGGCCCTGCGCGTGGAGCTTGCATTCTGGGGCCCTGCACCGTCTGCGCCCCGCATCCCTTTACAGCCCCTCCCAAGGCACTTCCAGCCCGACCCTCGACCCTCCGAAGTGGGGACTGCGCAGAGCAGATGCCCACGATGGCTCTGGCCTCTCCACTTGCCGAGCCTTCCCAGGCCCACGGAAACTTCGCCCACACTGTAGACCCGCAGCCCTCCCTGCTCTCGGGATTGTGAGCTAAGAGCCAGGGTAAGACACCTGGGTCGCGAGCGGCGCCCCCTCACCTGGGCCGGCCCCAGCACCGCACAGGGAGGCGGGAAGCAGTGCGGCCTTCCGCCTCCATCTAGGCATGTCTTGTCCCCAGGTGAGCCGTCCGCGGCGGCGCGGGAGGGCGAGGAATCCCCTCCAGGTGCTGTCAGCGACCCCCCGGGCTCCACAGGTCGGCCTGGGCAGCGGCGGGACAGCCTGGGTGGGGCGGGGGGAGCTCTGTGTCGCCGGTCCAGGGCGGCGCTGTGCCCAAGGTGGGTGTCTGGCCTCTAGGAAGACGACGGGGGTGGGGCCGGGGAGGGGAGGGCTGCGTTTCAGCACCGGCTGGCGAAGCGCGCCGGGATCATTTCCACTTGCCTGCTTTGTTTAGAGTCCTAACTCTCCTTCCTCCCGCAGGCCACACTGTCACAACGCCTGGCCTTCCTCCTCGCTCACGTCTTTCTCCCCACTCACCAGTCTCATGGCTGGTCTCTTCTCCAGCTTGTCCCTCCAAGCACCGCCCAGACCCCGCACATCCAACCGAGACACTGCTGCCTTACTGACCCGCGCTGCCCTCCCTCAGGCTGCAGTTCAAGGTCACACCTGCACGTCCACCACCCGTGGTCTCCCTGCCAATGTCGCCTTCAGTCACCGCTCTCTCCCCTGGAACCCAGCCCCCTCATCGTGCTTTTGCACCTGCAAGTCCCTTGGCCAAGAGTGCCCCCCACCCCACAGGCCCCACCTTTGTTAGTCCTTAGAGACTGGTGAAGGGCACCCCAGACTTGGTCTCTCCAAGTGCACCCACAGCAGCTGGGCATACATAACCCGCCCCTGCACACAGCTGCCTCTCTCGCCTCTTTAGGGTACAGCCCAGGTCTTGTTCTTCTCTCAGTCCCTGGAACACGCAAGTCCTGGCACAGATCAGCCATCAGAAAAAAAAATGTTTTTAAATGAGTAAATGGAAGATCATAGAATGGGGGAGCTGCTGGGTGTGTTGAAGGGGATGGATGGATTATTGAGCGTTCATCTGAGAAAGCTTCTTGGAGGCCACACTGAACAGGGTTAGATGCAGGGTGGATGGAATTTGATGCAGCGGGTGGACTGCGGGGAAGCACCTGAGAGATGTGCTGTATTGATTTAACGAACATGGAACCACTTCTGTCACCAGGCCCCATGCTGTGCCCAAGGGACCTCAGTCTGCACTCAAGTTGCACCCCCTACAGTAAAGGAAGAAGACAAGGTAGGTGATGCCGAAACAGAGTGCCAAGTGTCACATGGTGAGCGCAAGGAGATGTGAGCAGGCAGAGAAGGAGCACTTAACAGGGGGGGTTGTCAGCGAGGCTTCCCAGGGGAACACCACCCAACCCCAGACCAAAGGGAGGTCCCAAGAAGAGGGCAAGGGGACCAAGAGAGCCAGCTGGAGAGCTGAGCAGGGCTGGTTACCATCTGCCACCCTGAGGGTGTTCAAGAAGCTGGGGAGGGACGGGGCTGCACAAAGCCTCAGCTCTGACCACTCCTCTGAGAACTCGCCCCCCCCCCACCCAGCAGGCAGAGCCCCTCTTCTGTGCTCCCTTAGTAGCCTGGTCACTTCTTTTCTATGCAGGGCTGGATCCCCTGCTAGGCTGTGTTCCTTAGTCTTCATCTCCTCTGTGTCCCAAATCTTGCTCCTGACCAGGTGTTTGCTGAATGAGTGGATTGTCCCTCATTTCTGTGGATTTCGACAGTCCTTACTGGCCATCCGTTCACACCTGACACCTGTGCATTCTGCAAATGGCATTTACTTGAGAAAGAGGAGACCCAGTTCAAATCCTGGCTCCACTGAACAAGTTGCTTAAGTATTCCAAAACCTCAGTTTCCCCATCTGTAAGATGAGGTGCTGCTATGAATAGAGTCTAAGTCCTCACAGGCATGCATGAGCCGCCCTTCCCTAGATCGGCTGTGAGTTCTGGGAAGGCAGGGACCAAGGGTTGTCCCAGCGCCCCGCTCAGGCTGAGCTCACCACCAATGCAGTGTTCAGTCGTGGTGGTTTGTAGGCAGCAGAGTATAGAGGAAAGGGCACTTAAGGCAAAGTAAGTCTTGTTCTGCCACTTCTGGTGTGGCCTAGAGCTGGGTTCTTCCCACCTCTGAGTCTCCTTTGCCTTGCCTGGGAAGTAGGGATGAGAACCCTTGCCTGACACAGCTCACAGGGCAATGGAAATCTGAGATCTGAAAATGCTTTGTGAATGGAGGAGATAATGAAAGAGCTAATACAGTAGACAGTTGATCACTAATTACAAATGAACCCGCTGTGAAGTAGCACAGATGCGGCAATGCCTGGCAGACTCTGGGGCTCTGCTGGCAGGCAGGTAGTGGTGCCAGGCAGATCCACATACAGCCGGGAGGGATGTCTGTGCCATGGGGCCAGGGTGAGGTCAGAGAGGGAGTGGAAACTGTGCTGTGTTGGTCCACCTGTTTTGCTGTTGAGCTTTTCCAAGACACTCTGCCTTCAGCACCTTCATCTTTACTTCTGCATCTCCTCCGTCTACCCCGTCTCCCTTAGTCCTGCTGATGAAATAGAATGTGTGTATATGTATTTGTGAGTGCGTGTATGTGTGTGTATTTGTGATGAAGTCTAGGAGAACGGGAGCTTCCGGGTCCCTGGGAGTCTCTTTTGGGGCTCCTTGACCTTGAGAACGCCTTGCTCCTCTCTCTTGGGCTCCAGGTCAGGGCACCAGTTCCTTCCTGAGCCATGCCAAGTGCTGCCCCCAGAGGAATGAACTTTACTGGAAAAATGTTATCAATGCCTTGTCCCTGGTCAACATGGTCCTGGGTCTCTTCTCCATCTTCTGCTGCTTTAGCAGGTAAGTCTGGGGCCCAGCAAGCTCTGAGCCAGGAGCTGGAGCCAGTGGCAAGAGGGGCAGGGAGGGGGAATCCAGAGAGCCAGGCACTGAGACAAAGATCAGCGGGTGGTCAGGGGAAAGTGCAGAGGCTTAGGAGTCAGTCGCTCCCCCAAATGATGTGTAACCTCAGTGCGGTCGCATCCCTGAGCCTCAGTTTCTCCTTTTGTAAAACGAGGACCTTACATTATGATCTCTATAGTTGTTTCCAGCTATGGCAGTATAGAATGGATAGAATAGATTTTCTCTCTCTCTCTCTCTCTTTTTATTTTTTTAGAAAATCAGGAGATTATGTTCTGCTAGCATTTATGCAATCCTTGGGTAGGCTACTGTTCATATTTTCTAATTTTTATTTTATTTATTTATTTATTTTTATTTTTGAGCCAGTCTCACTCTGTTGCCTGAGCTAGAGTGCCGTGGCGTCAGCCTAACTCACAGCAACCTCAAACTCCTGGGTTCAAGCAATCCTTCTGCCTCAGTCTCCAGAGTAGCTGGGACTACAGGCATGCGCCACCATGCCCAGCTAATTTTTTTTATATATATTTTTAGTTGGCCAATTAATTTCTTTCTATTTTTAGTAGAGATGGAGGTCTCACTCTCAGTCAGGCTCGTTTCGAACTCCTGACTTTGAGCTATTCTCCTGCCTCGGCCTCCCAGAGTGCTAGGATTACAGGTCTGAGCCACCGTGCCTGGCCAGTATTTTCTAATTTTTAAATTAGAATATATAGCTTGGTAGAATATTTGAAATCAGCACTGTTCTGGAAAGTCTGAGACACATACATATATGTGCCCCCAAAAGTTGTAAGCAAATTATATTTCTATAAATTGAGCCATATTTTAATCATGGCTTTCAGTCAAGGGCCTCTGGGAAATCAGCCATTTAAAGATAAATCCATTGTAATGCAATAACATCTTCCTAATCTACTCGATTCTCTGTGCCCATCGGCAAGTGACTTCTCTCTGGATCTATTTCTCATCCATAAAATAAGATGACTTTACCTGATGATGTTTAAGCTCCCTTCCAGCTTGACATTTTTATGATTCTCTAAGTATGGGTTTTCAGAGTCTAATATAATAGGGCACACCTGCAGCAGAAATCTCTATTCTCTTAGTTCAGCCTAATTTTCTGGGAGTGTAGTTCTTCTGCTGTGATGGTGGGCTCAGTATTATTTAGCCTCAGTCTCCCTTAGATACACAGGTCTGGGTCTAAACAGAGGAAATGCTGTGGTTGTCTGGGGACAGCTGGGGTTTAGGGTCAGGCTGTTTGCTTCTACTGGGCCACCTAAGCATTGCGATCAGGGTGTAGACTTGGGAATGGGCCTCCAAGGGCAGGTTTGCTTGGGACGAAGGTGGCTGCTTTCAGAGGGACCTGCGACCATCTGCTGGACAGAGGCACAGACTCAAGAATGTGGGGTCTTGGCCGGGCGCGGTAGCTCACGCCTATAATCCTAGCACTCTGGGAGGCCGAGCGGGGGGGGGGGGATTGCTCAAGGTCAGGAGTTCAAAACCAGCCTGAACAAGAGCGAGACCCATCTCTACTATACTAATAATAGAAAGAAATTAATTGGTTCAACTAATATATATAGAAAAAATTAGCCGGGCATGGTGGCCCACATGCCTG